GCTTCCAGACAGCTTCACTTCATTCTTGCCTAGATTCCAGTTGGGCCAGCTTCTTTTTCCTCCTTTGCACCCTCCTTCCTACACTGAGATATCTGGGAGCCTGCTCCCTGGGTCAGTTGAGAAGGGTACATACAGCAGTGTGTCAATGTATTGCTGACATTGTAGCCTACGTCATCTCACAATATCCCCTAAGGTTCTGCCTAGATGTTGTTAAATAGAAGTGGTGACAGGACTGAGCTCTGAGGCACTCTGCACGTCAGAGCTCTTGGAGGAGGAGCAGCTGTCCATCATGGGTCTTTGGGGATCTGTTGGAAAGGAATGAGTGTAGCCAGCATAGCACAATTCTCTCATGACGTGCCAAGACAAGTAGTTGAGTCAGCAGTACCTCATGATCGGCAGTGTCAAAGGCAGCTGATAGATTGAGTAGTATCAGTGTGATTGAGTCACCTCAGTCCAACTCCATGAGGAGCCCCAAAACCCCATTGCTGCTTCATTACCAGACTCTGCTATGAAGTCAGGCTGGGAGAGTCCACCTTATCTGCTGAGGTTGTGTTGCTGGAGTTGATTTATCACTGTTTTCTTGAATCTTGCCAAGGTTTGAAATGGGATGGTAGTTAGTCAGGTCACTAGCGTCAAGTATTGGTTTCTTGAGCAGTTTCAGGTTTACGTATTTTCTAATTGCACTCCTCAGCCCGTGCAATGACACTTGGTCTTAAAATAAGAGTAGAGCCAAAAAGTTTAGAAAATAAAATCTCAGTGGGCATGCTGTTGCTCTTGGGAAGGATAGTGAATTCTCTGCACTTCAGCACAGCTAGGGACACTAGCAAACCTCCAGAGAGAAAAGGCTGCTTGTTTCTCTCTCCTTTTATTTTCATCTTAACACCTCCATTGTTTGTAATGAGCACTGCCATAGAGGGAAACGATACTACAGAAGAGAAGGGTCTGACCTCTGTGGGACTGGATCCAATCCAAGTTTGAAGGTGGAGGTACCCAGGGTCTGGTAAGAATCTAGGAGCTGTATTTTAATGGCATAAAATTTCTGGGGGTGATAAGTGAGTGTGATCTCTTCTGGGGTTGGCTGGCTATTTGTTTTTAATGAGTATTTCATCCCTTGATTTCTAAACTGAGATGTGACAGGTGCTAAAGAATGCTCTAAATTATGCCTAGCTTTGAGCTACTCTAGCAGCTAGAGATCGGTAGCATGCACTCACCCTCTGGCAATGTACCCTGTACCAGGGCTGGATGGAAGGGAGTGGCACAGAGCTGCTACATTGGCTCCATGCCGGCCTGGGCTTTCCTGTATTCAAGAGGAATCCTGAAGGATGTGAAGGGATACAAAGCAGCTAAGGTGTAACGTAGGATCACTGTCTTTCATAGTGACCTAGGGCCCAATCTAACTCTTGTATTAAAGTAGTGCTAGGCACTGTACAGACAAATAGTATGTGACTATCTCTGCCTTGAAGGGTTTACAGTCTAAATAGACAAGACAAAGGTTGCAAGAAGGGAAGGATTATTATCCATTGACTTTGCTCGGGGTTAGATCAGGCTGTTACTGATGAGTAGAAAATCTTCATTTCTCAACATTTAAAAGGACATAGACTTAACAGAAATCATGGGGCCTGATTCGTCACCCTGTTACCTGGGTGTTATGCCAGTGACATTCCCCTGAAGTCAGGGTAATTGTATTAGCATAACATGAGTGTTTAGAGAGATGATAAGCAGGTCTTACATATTTTATGAATGGTTTTCCTAACCTGTGTTGCTAATTACACTAAATGATTAAACCTGAAAGAATTTTTAAAATGTAATTTACTTTTCACTATTAATGTGGTTTGTTTACTTTTTATTCTTCGTTGAACTTGGTCAGTAAAAATAGATTGGTCCATTAAGTTTTGCTTATGTCACTTCAGTTCCCTGTTTCCCTTCCCACCCTTTATCTGTCCTATCTATTTAGCCTGTAAGTTCTTTGGGGCAGGCTGTCTTTCTCTTATGTGTATGTACAATGCCCAGCACAATAGGCTCTTGACCTCCTTTGACGCCTTTAATACTAATAATATTACTCGTATTGTGATTCCAGGGAAGTTCATGTTAAAACAAACAAAATAACAAATTTTTCCATTAAGATGTAACTGATGTAATAAAATGTTGCTTTGCTTTTTAATGTCAATTATTCTCCATGGTTTCAGCCTTCAAAACCAGAGCTTGGCCCAACCCTCAGACCACCACTGTAGATCCCCCACTTCTCCAAAGTTTGAGTTTTTTGGATTTGGGGTTTTTAGATTCTGCTCATCATAAAAGAGTCAACTGTGAAGTTTGAATCTGGATCCAAACTTCCGTAAAGTTCAGAGGTGATTGGGTCCAAACCAGAACCTTGCATCCACATCTCAATTAACTAATTAACATTTTTTATAGAAGAGAAAAAGCTCTAATTTAAAAATAATTACAGTTGGTATGAAATATCTAGTCTCCAGCCAAACATAACTCTCAATGGAGTTACATGGAGGATGAATTTGATCTACTAGACTGTCAGCTTCTACTGATCATCAAACACATTTAAGTTTTGGAAAACCTTTCTTCCCCTTGTAGGAAAACCCAAATTTTAGGCTTAAACCATACTTGACAGTGTCACTTTAAGCCAAATATTTAACAGTCAAAGATTTACAGTTATTTTCAGTTTACAGCACGATGGAAACTGAATTAGTCTCCAGCTATGACTCCTATCCTGGTTGCTGTAGTTTATTCTGTTGAGTTTTTGTTAATACAGTATGCTGGTCATGCTCATATTTCATTGGGGGTGGTGTGTGTGTGTGATTCGTAGTACACAAAGAACCTGTGCAGTGGGTGACAGTTTGTTTTCATCCAGTTTCTACTCTTTGTTCTATAAAGACCTCAGTATGTCTGAACATCCCTGGTTTAACATAGGAAGGAATTTGACTTCGCATTGCTGATACTCAAAGTGTTTGTGAGAACTGTTAATCTTTGATCAATCTGAGTTTCCTTGTTACTGACTTTGATTACACAAGTGTATGTGAAAGCCAGCTTTAATTATAGCTTTTAATAAGTTTTCATTTCTACTCAGTCAATCTCATACAGTATGTGCAGCTTTTTTCCCTCCCTGGAAGCAGGGGCCTGGTATTGTCTCCCTGGGATCTGAGTGCAGAGAAGATCCTGCTGTATGCAGAACTCTCTCTGCATGGACTGTACATCCACATTACTGTCCTCTCCCATCCTCTTCAGCATTGCATGCAAGGGGCCAGGCCTGTATTGGTTCTGGGGCCAGTGGACAGAGGGGGAAGATGGGGCTGAGAGGGGCTAGATACACCATGCATGTTGTCTGCTGCAAGAAACAATTGGACAGTCCTCTGAAAAGCTGTTGCAGCTTGAGGCTATATCAGCTGTTATGTGTAGCCCCTATATCTGACACCTTTTTACTGGCTGCTTTTCCCCCCCTCCTCCACTTTTGCTCCCTTGGCATGCAATTTTCTCTCTTGTTGCAGACTAATGAATGCCAAATTCAGTGCAAGTTATACTACTTTACCACTTACACCTATTTTCTGATCAACTTGTGCCCATTGCTGAATTTCACCCAATAGGATGAGAGCCAGCTCCAGGGGTATGCAGTGGCAGCTTTGTGACACTCCAGCTCGATGGCCAATCTGTGTCATCAAAGTGGCACAACATACTGGAGAATTTGGCCCCGCATTGTTGAAAGGATGCCTCTCTCACTATTAAAGAAGCTAACTAGGAAATTTCGGGCTCTCTCTGGTGTGCAGTTTGTTTTTGTTTTTTTACCATTCTCTATAGAAGCCGAAGGGTTCACGAAGTTTGGAACAAATGGCTATTTATCAAATAAATGATATGATAACGAGAAGTCTCTCTAAATATCATCCCACCTTTATAAACTCAAGAACAAAAGATTTGTCATGCTGGTAAATCTAGTATCCTACTTTCTGGCCAATGCCCTAAGCCAGCTGTGGAAAGCTGTAAAGGGTCAAGGGTTAGATTTCTTTCCTGTCCCTTGCAGTGGTCACTTTGTGCCACGTTGCACATACTGGTATGTTTCATTTCTGTAGTGCCAGTCATCTAAAGGACCACAAGCACTTTACAAACTATGGGCTAACATGTTATATATCAAGCCAAACCCTTAACGTGCAGCTGTACTTTGCTCTCCACTCTCCCTGATTATTCTACCTAGGAGCACAGATAAGTCCCTATTGCTAGCTCAGGGGGGACACACCCATAAGCAGGCAGAGCCTGCATCTCACCTGCAGGACCAGCCTTGGAGCAGCGGTGTGTGTCTGCAGGTTTTGAAGTGGAGTTCTTTTAAACTGGCCCTTTTTAAAGCAGCTTTTCAGTTGTTCAAACAGACTGCGGAAGTTGCCCTCCGATACGGAACAAAACCATGGGCTCATTTTGTGAGCTGGATTCGAACCAGCACACTAGAAGTGAAAAACTTTGCCTCCCATTACCCAGAGCCGTCTATTTCCCTGACTGACGATTGCTTTATCCTTAAAGGTATGTCTACATTGCAGCTGGGAGTGAGCATCCCAGCCTAGGTAGACAGGCCTGCACTAACAGGGCTCAAGTTACCACGCTAATAATAGCAGTGTGGATGTTGCTGCACTGGTGCTAGCCACCTGATCAGGTGAGTCTGAGCTTGGGTGGCTAGCCTGAGCCTCTGCCAGTGCAGCAACATCCACGCTGCTATTTTTAGCATGATAGCTTGAGCCCTGTTAGCACAGGTCTGTCTACCTGGGCTGGGACTCTTGCTCCCAGCTGCAGTACAGACATACCCTCAGTGTCTAATCTTCTTATGACTCTTACTACTCTGCCTCAGTGACACCCTGTGGCAGTAAGCGCCTCAGGTTAATGCGTACAATGTGTCTGGGGAAAGTATTTCCGCTCGTCCATTTTTAATTGACCCCACGTCCCCTTCTTTCCATTACTTGTTCAGGGAGACAAAAGCAATCTCTTACTCTCTGCTCTTTTCCTCCTGGCAGACTTGGAGACCAGTTCTACAAAGAAGCCATCGAGCACTGCCGCAGCTACAACTCTCGGCTGTGCGCCGAGCGCAGCGTCCGCCTCCCCTTCCTGGATTCGCAGACTGGGGTAGCTCAGAACAACTGCTACATCTGGATGGAGAAGAGGCATCGGGGACCAGGTAGGCAGCATTCTGTGCATGTGTGTATGGAGGGCAGGCCGCTGAGCCCTCATGGGGTTTAATTACTAAAAACTCAAACCTGTTAAGGGCCACACACATAGGAGAAGTTGCCTAAACCTCCGGGCCTGGAGGGGATTCCCTTTGGTAACTGCAGAGAGCAGATCCTACTTATACTTTCTATTGCTTGACATAGTTTCTAATGCTGCATCATCACAGCTCCTTTATTGCTATTGATCTGAGTTAGTTGCATAATAGAGGACCTCTACCCAAGAGAGCCTTGGAAATATTCTAAAGGAGGGAAGACTCTCTCACTAACCTGATTTCTCAATAGGAAACATACATTTAGGGAGAGTCTTATCTTCTGAAATTCACTTGTGATTAGAGCAGGGGACCAGGAGTCAAGAGATCTAGATTCTGTTCCCAGCCCTGCCTTAGACAGATCACTTGGTCTTCACCTCTGTGTCTCAGTTTTCCATCTATGAAAGGAGGATAAATGTTCTCGTAAATATGTTACAAAGGCAATATGGGCCTGATCCAAAGTCCACTGAAAAAGACCTCCATTGACTTCAATGGGCTTTTGATCAGGTTCTAATTCGTTAATGTTTGTAGAACAAATTGAGATCCTCGCGTGGAAGTTAAAGTATTATTGTTGGGTCAACCCTAAGCACCCTACTGTAACAAAACTCCCACTGAAGCCATTGGGAATGTAGCCAGATGCATTATTTGTTGAGAGAATGGAATTTTTGACACTTTGATCTATGCCAAGTTTTTTTTTTTTTTTTTTTTTTTCAATATTTGGGACAAAGACCCAAAATAAGAGGGGAACACCCAAAATTTACAGTGAAGGGTTGATTATCCAAGTGCCTTGGTGGGAAGTGTACACATTTATAAATAATTGGGGTTCTGGATAACTGACGTTCTCAGTTCAATAGACATTGGATGATATAGCTCTGTTTTGGATATTTGATGGTTGGATAATGGAGGTTGCACCCTCTCCTTAACTAATATGTGATTCATTTTAGAGCCAAAATAGCATTTTGTATAATTTGTGATTTATGGGTTTCCTTTTTGCGTAAATCATTTACAGTAAGCAAAAATGAAATCATACCAAGATGGTGGCGGCAGTGGTGGCGGTGGTGGTGGTGGTGGTGGCCTGGGGCAGAAGAGGTAAATGTGGGTCTCTCATGAGGAATGCGATTTCTAATAAGGGACAGCATCTATGTGTGCAGTACTAGCTCCATGTCCTGCTTCTTTACTCTTGTGAGTAGTCCCGTGGAAGTCAACGGGCCTACTTGTAGAAGTAAGGTGAGTGGGCTTTGGTTCTTGGGGTTTGCAGCTGTGGAGGGAGCAGACTGGTTATGTTCAGATCAAACTCCGTAGTGATGCTTTTGCAAATGAGAATAGTGGCAGGAAGCAGGTTGTGTTCCCTCATTTTAGCCCCACTTTTTTGCATGTGTTTCAGCAAACCTATCTAGGTGCTTAAATGGCTATAGAATCTGAATGTCTCAAGTGTTTAAGAAGAGAAATAACAATCTCTCACTCTTTCTTCCTTCCTAGCCTCTGGGAGAAATGTCTGGACTAGTTTCTAGCTCTTGGTTTCTGTGTGTGTTCATGTGCATTTTGTATGGGTGCAGGTTGAGGGAAAGCTAAGTCCAAGATGTGTTTTTGTGTCTAGTTTTATTTGTGGGGAGGTCCTTGGTCATTCTTATTTCTTGTGGTAGAGAGTTCCACAGATTTGGGATGGTGCAACCTGTTCTTTTCTCTGTGACTGGCCAGGTGGAATCATAGCTGGCCCAGAGGCATACAGAGGAAACAGTTCCTACATTCCATCAAATTCAGGGACTGGAATTTTCCCTGGCCATTTCACAGGGCACAGAATGGGGGAAGGCATCTTGCACTGTTCCCCACCTACGCACCAGGACTCAGGGCTTGTGTGTACATAAATATTAACCCAGAACAAGGTAGCATATGAATTTAAAGTAGATTAACTATTCCCAATTAATTCTATGTGTGGATGCTTTTATTCTGGAATAAGATTGCCTTATTCCAAATTAGTTTACTCCATTTTGGTAGTAGATTAAACTAGTTCGGAATGAGGTGCTCTCATTCCAGGGTCAGAGCATCCACACATGGAATTCATGGGGAATGGCTATTCCAGCATAACACCTCCTGCCGCACCCCCACCCAATGTAAACAAGTCCTGAGGCTAGGGTTGGCCCTAATTAGTTAAACCTCACAATACCCAAAGTAAGACCACCTCTAAGTAAAGGATACGTGGGAGTCACTTCACCGATCACTGAAATGCAGCCACTCCTGGTGTGGGATGTAGAAGCTGTGTTATTAGTGCACAGCAACACTACATTATCATTTAGGATAAATTCTGAAGGCAGTAATACCTCATCCATTCGAAACTGCAGGGGAGTTTGGGTAGGCAGAATGTAGTTACCTGAGCTGGAATTCGTCTAGGTCTCTGGGGACCTTCCTTCACGAAAAGTCTCATGGGATCTTTAGTGACCACTGTTGGTTTTGTTTCATCTGAAAGCTCCCTGTTCCAGGGAGATTATGCTTTGGCAAAACAAGCTAATTTTTGCTTCTTCTTCTTGTTGTTGTTAATGTATTTACCCCAAGATCTTCTGTTCCTGCAGCATCTGATTATGAGTGAGATACTGCTATTTTTATTGATTTGAACTCACTCACACACATAAGCAGGTATGCATTTATTATATGTAGAAGCCAGATGCTGGAGGGAGCATATGCTACAAGGATGGCACAAGGCAGCCTTGTACCAGACACACTTATGGGAGGAATCATTGTCTAGTGTTTAAAGCACAGGGCCAGGAAAGCTGGGTTCTTTGGCCAGGTTTGTCACTAACTCACTGTTATCTTGGGCAAATTTGTCGACCTTAGTCCTACTCGCATCACGGTGCCTCAGTTTCCCTGTCTATGAAATGGCGATAGTAGAGTTTCCCTTTCTCACAGGGCTGTGGTGAGGACTGATTAGTGGCAAGACATGTTTAGGTTAGAATTTAAATAGGCTGAAACCTCCTGTATCTGCATCAGCGACCAAACCCGAGGTCTTTTTTATTTAAACTATAATGATTTAGAAAGAAACCAAGAATCCCTCCTCCCCCATATTCGCTGTTCCTTGATGTGATTAGCTCATTTAGTGCTCCCTTGGGTCTCTCTGTACCATCCATCTCTTGTAGCCCCATTGTGACGGGACCCAGCATCTATCTGTGGTGGGAGCATTGCCATTTCCAGGCTGCACATAGTGTGCTGTGGCAATATTAAACCAATGAGAATTCTCCACCAGCCACTCTGGTGTCTGGATTGTATGCACCCCTTTGCTTTGTTACTGGCCTTCACTTCCCCCATCTCTAACCTGAAGCAGGCAAACAGAAAAGATCCAGAACCTCCTTTCACTTACACAGGGTTTAAAAGGGGGAGAGGAGAGTCAGACGCCCCATGGATAAACTTGGTTTCTTACAGCCCTCTTGTAAAGGAGTCAGAAGGCTGCCTCTCACACAGTTCAGGGTTAATTTCACACAATACTGCACATAACTCCCTCCCTCTTTTCCCTTCCTCCCCCAGCCTTTCACGCAAGCTTTGAATTATGACTCTCCTACACTAATGAGATAAACAACATAACTCACTGCAGGTCCTGCTATTTCCTCTATAAGCAAATGGTTGGAACCTTCTGTGGTTGCCCTATAAGGCACAGCCGTGCAAGACAACCCAGCAAGTACTAGAGAGGGCAAGAACTGTACATATTTTACCGTGGGCACAGGCAGAGTCAGAGTAGGGGAGGTAGCTTCAAAGCAGATGTAAAAGGCCCTCTCTTGCCACCTCCTCCACAAAAATGACCAAAGGTTCACACTTTACTTGTGTCATCGTGTTGATAGATTGGTGGTCGGGGGGTGGGGGACAATGGTGTAAATCTTCCCTCTTGAAAATGGTATCAAACCTGTTTGGATCAAGTGAAAGTTTGTTTAGTGGCTGGCTGAACACTGCTGAGCAGGGATTTATTGAATAGCAGAGGAGAGCTCCCCTCAAAAGGTTCATAGGGTCAGTTTGGAGGCCTGCAGGAGCTTATCTGAGTCCATCTGGTGTCGGATTGGGCTGGAGGCCTTCCTACAATATTTCTGGAACTTCCTGATTCCAGCTGAGTTTATAGTATTTTGGTGTTTGTGATTCACCATCTTTGCTGGAGCCTAGAAGTGCCAATTTGTGAGAGACCGAGAAACAATAGAACCAAAGCTTTTTTTTTTTTTTTAGATTTGAAAAGTTAGGTTTTGGGTTAAAGCTCAGGTGCAGGATTTTACCCAGATCCCCCATCCCAAGGGGACAGGTCAAGGAGCCTGATTCTCCTCTCACACAATTTTTTACACCAGAGTAAGGCTGTGAATGCCCCTGCACAGGGCATGTTTGTGGGAGGGTTAGAGTCCTTGTATGCTCCCCCACAACGACCCACAGCCAGTCACAATGTATACCTTAATAATAGCAATTTAAATACTAGTTAAGGTTTGTAAAGCGCCTGGAAGAAGTATGTCAAGCACTACAGAAGAGCTAGGTAATTCACAGTGTTTTTCCTTCCAAAGCCAGTCATAGACTATACACAACCCACTGAAATGCAGCATTCTCTGAGGTAGGGTGTGTAACAACTGTTGCACTGCATAACAGGGAAGGGAAATTGTTGCTAAGGCCACCTGAGCCAACCCCCATTCTTCCAGAAGGTGTCAATCCATGCAGGGCAGACAAGAACTTTATTTTCAGGATCTCCTCCAAAAGCCTCTCCCATCCCACAGTAAATTTCTTGATGCTCAGTTTATCTGCCTCAAGAGGATAAAGGGTGGCTCGACCCTGCTGGGATTTGAACTTTATTTTCTGGGAGTCTCCATATTTCAAACTGAAGACTTAGGCTGCACTTGCCAAATTTGATTTGCTTATTCTTTTGGGGTGAGCAACTGGGATGGCCCAGTTTTCACAAGTAAGTAGGGTGTCAATTTTTTTCATTATCATCATCTGGTTTGGGGAGTAGATTTTGTTCCTGGTTTGGTGAATGTTCTTTGCTGTTATGCCAGGCTGGCTTAGACCGCTCAGCTATCACCATATGGTAGGATTGTTCTGCATTATTGACATGGGTTTGATATTGTCAAGTTGTTCAAAAATGACCATTTGTGTCCATGGTGTCAAAGCCATTCCCATCCTATCTATTATAATTCCCTTTTTTTTTTTTTTTTTAATGTGGAGCTCTGGTTGCAGTAAACCCCTGCGCAGAGTGAAATATGTTAGTGAGACGTGTGGCTTCTCTGTAGGGCTGATCCTGCAAGATGCTGAGCTGCTTCTGGGATGCCGAATACCTTCAGTTGCCTGAGCTGCTTCTCACCTTGCAGGATTGAACCCTATTGTATGGTAATACTGGGTATGGAGAAACAGAGATGCTAGAGAAAATAATGGGGATTTACAAATGCAAATGGGACCACATTTATTTTTTGCTTTTAACCCACAGGACTGGCCCCAGGTCAGCTGTACACATATCCTGCTCGCTGCTGGCGCAAAAAGAGACGCTTACATCCTCCTGAGGACTCCAGGCTGAAGCTTCTGGAAATTAAACCTGGTACGTGTTTTGTGTTTCTTTGTCACTTTCTCTCTCCTCTGTGTTGCATTCACTGAGGTGTCATGGATCAAGTGAAGACTGGCATACGCACAGCACTGGTGTTTAGTCTCTGGACTCTGTCTTTGCCTGTCTCCTTCTTTTTCTCTTTGCGATTTTATCAAGTCCATTGCATTATTCTTTTTTTAGAAAATAAAAGAAATACAAGTCTGCAGGCCAAATTCATCCCTGGCATAAGTGGGTGTAACTCTCCTTGAAACCAACAGGAGCTGAACCCACTTACATGAATCTTGTCTTCCATTCATAAGGATATAACGGGACAAGTAGGTATCCGTTATCATAAGAACAGCCATACTGAGTCAGACCAAAGGTCCAACCAGCCCAGTATCCTGTCTTCTGACAGTGGCCAATGCCAGGTGCCCCAGAGGAAATCAAGTGATCCATCCCCTGTCACCCATTCCCAGCTTCTGGCAAACTGAGGCTAGGGACACCATCCCTGCCCATCCTGGCTAAAAGCCATTGATGGACCTATCCTCCATGAACATATCTAGTTCTTTTTTGAACCCTGGTATAGTGACCTCCAAAGTGTTAGTAACATGAAGCTTCACTATGGCATCTGTTGTGAAATCTTTGCTAGGAAGAGGGGTGAGACCACTGATTTGTGTGCAGAATAGTGCATTGATAAGTTTCTGTAGTGCCTAGCACAATAGGTGCTACTGCAATATAAATAGTTAATCATAACAGTTAGTGAGGATGTGGCACATTGTGTGTGTGTTTTAGTCCCCTCAATTTTCACCCTTGCTATCCTTGGTGCTCCTCCCCACCACTAAATTAATTTGAAATGGAGAGTCTGGATGCTGAATGAGTTATTGTAAAGCAGATGTGGAGGATCAGCAGCTGTGTCCGGTAGAGTGCACTGTGGTGCATTCCTTGATGCAGTAAGTAATAAAGGCGTACTGTCTTTAGGGTCGTAAATGTATGAGAAAGAGGGAACACCCTGGGAGCTGTATGTGGTTTTCAAGAGGAGAGACACAGCCAGTATAAAACACGCACACTCAACCAAAAATATAAATTAACAAAATATTAAAAAATGTTTGGCAGCAGAAGGTGTCTGGGAACTGAGTGGTGAGCAACAATACCAGGGAATTGGTTTTAGTGCAGTCATTTGTGGAGCAGGAGGTAGAAAAGATGCAGAGCCAAGTCTTGACTCCAGGGAGGTCAGAGGCAAAATTCTTGTTGACTTCAGTGAGACCAGGTTTTGGCTCATTATCCCCATGATAGCAGAGGTTACTAATAAGATGGGTAAAAGGAAGGAAATACTGTAATTGCCAAATAAGGGTTACAAACCATGGACAAAATCAAGAGCAGGGGACTGATCGTGATCTCACACCAGTGTAAAGGAGAAATTACTCTATTGTAATAAAATCATAATGATAATACAATATACTTTTGCACTGTATAGCACTTTTCATCTGTAGATGTCAAAAAACAGGACCATGTCTCAGCCAATTGCATTTGGTAATCGAAAAGGTTAATGATTAAAATAAATACATGCAATACAAGCCCCCTTTAGTGTGAAAGGCAATTGCATTAAAGTATTTTCTCTGTCATTTTTTAGTTCCATGCTAATGTGAACATTTCACAAAAATCTCTCTGATAATTAACAATGCTCTTAGTGTCCAGCACTGTGCCTGTGGAATTTAGTTTGTGAAATATTTTCATTTAACAGTAATTATCGTCTTCACATCTTGTGATCTAACTCCTAAATAGCTGTTGCTACAGCAACCTTTGGACAACCACCTCTGTTTGGCCATTGTAGACTGGGACAGTTGCATGGGTAGCTGTAGTAAAATCATGTGATCAACAGTCTAGCAATTTTTATGTTAATACTAATTATGAAAACCCAGCCATTCTGTCACATAGACCATGCGGCAGAAATAAAGTACTACATAAGTTCATTTGCAGTAGCTACTTAAAGTGACAATATAGCCACCATTATCACTTTGTATTACCAGGCAATTATGAATTACACTAAATATTTATGACATTTAATTTCACATGTGCTGGACTCCATCTTTCAATGGTACTTTTATATCTTAAGAAATAAGCATTAGGGCTCATGGAAATAAATCACTGCGTCTGTGTATGAATGCACATGGATCTTTATAGGCAATCTATAGTGCCCTTCATCCAAACACTTCAAATTCTCTTAGTGACATTACACCTGATCCTGAAGGTTGCTTATCATAGCCCAGGAGTTCAGTGCCTCTCAGGATTGGGGGCATTAAATGGACAGTCAAGTTAAAAATCATATATTTTCAAAAGTTTTAGTATTTTTATTATTTATGTTCTGATAGGGGCTATAGACCCAACCAAGAGCTAGAGCCCCATTCTGCTAGGCACTGCACAACTACGTAGCAGGGAACTTACTCATACAGAGATTAAATGACTGGCCCATGGTCACACAAGAGGTATGTGGCAAAGCCGGAAACTGAACCAAGAACAGAACCCACATCTCCTGAGTCCCAGTCCAGTGCCTTAGCCACAAGATCATCTTTGTCTCAATTTTCCTTACCTATGTTTCAAATAACATCCTTGATTATTAGAGCTGAAAAAAAAGTCAAATCTACTTTTCACTATGTAGACTGTTTCCTTTTAGCATTTCTCTCAGCTTGGCCAATTAAAATAGGTTAATAAGTTTCATCATTGGTTCCAGTCATTTTCTAGTCAGTTACACTCTTTGTTCTCATACAGTAGTGCAAGACTGCAATGTTTCACTTACAAATGTCGGAGGGAAAAGTTTGTTTATAAAGCGTTTTAACTAACGTTTAAAATAATCATGGAAACTGTAATGTATTCCATAATTGCCTTTGAGTTTCTGCTATGTTATAAACCCTAAAATCTGCAAAAAGGATTATATTGGAATCAAAATTGGTAGGTTAGATCTGTGGCTAAATTAGAACATTTCTGTAAAAGTTTAAGTGAATTGAGCAAGGTGCACTGGAACTATGAGACCCTAAAAATTGTTGTTTATTAGAGTTCAAACCCCAGATATGTGCCTGCAGACTTAATTTCACCACAATGGTGTTTTTTGTGTAGGAATTGATCTCAGATTTTGTAAACATTATTGCAAATGCTAAATTTTGGCCCAAATTTGACCTGACAGCCAGAAGATGGTAATAACTTTGGATCTCTACTGACAGGGATTAGAATTGACCTAAAGGTGAGGAATTCCATAACCTATTACCAATCCATATTTTATTGGCAATATTCCCCCAAATCTTAAACTTAAAATGTGTTTTTAAAAATCTGCTTTTTATTCAACCACTTATGCATTTTTTTTAAACAATGGAGGGTTTTATTCGTAACATACCCTCCAATGCTTAAAAATAACATTTTTTTCTAGAGGATTTCTTTTTTCCTTTTCCGTATGATAGTCATTGGTTCCAGCCAGCCCTTACGTTTGTTGCAGTATTTGAAATGAACCCTGCTTATTTCTGCTTACTTTCTTGTTTGGGCGTCTGTCTGCACAGATAACTACTGCTGCAGGGCCAGCAGAGGGAGCAACAAATAACATGAGATTAGTGTGTGCAGGGCCTGACTCTGCTTTCACTTAAACAGATGTGAATTGGGAGTAACCCCATTGAAGTTAGTGGAGTTACATGAGTATAACACTTGTGTGAGAAGAATTAAGCCCATTATAAAAGCAGGAAAGAGTCCTGTGGCAACTTATAGACTAACAGACGTTTTGGAGCATGAGCTTTCGTGGGTGAATACCCACTTCTTCGGATGCATGAGAAGTGGGTATTCACCCACGAAAGCTCATGCTCCAAAACGTCTGTTAGGCTATAAGGTGCCACAGGACTCTTTGCTGCTTTTACAGATCCAGACTGACATGGCTACCTCTTCGATACTTAAGCCCATAATGTATGTTTTTTTTTTTTTTTTTTTTTTAAATTATGGAGATATCACATTTCCTAGAACTGGAAGGGACCTTGAAAGGTCATCAAGTCCAGCCCCCTGCCTTCACTAGCAGGACCAAGTACTGATTTTGCCCCAGATCCCCAAGTGGCCCCCTCAAGGATTGAACTCACAACCCTGGGTTTAGCAGGCCAATGCTCAAACCACTGAGCTATCCCTCCCCCCGGATATGTTTTATTTCTTTGTATAGATTTCTCTGAGACATAAATGGTTTATTTTTTTTAATGTATTTATTTATTTAGGGCAATCTCAGTGAAACTATGGCAGTTTTATGGTACAGTTAGGTCAAATGTTAGATTTGGACAACTCCCAGACGCATAGAAGAGACCATTACGATTATCTGGTCTGAACTCCTGCATAACACAGGCCATAGAATTTCACCCTGTAATTTCTGCATCAAGCCGACAACGTCTGGATGACCTAGAGAATATCTCAAAATTATCCCTTGATTTCCACCATCTGTTCTACGTACAGCACACGTGGTGGGGAGGACAAGCAGTGAAACATTTAACATTTTGAGAAATAGACTTTAATTTTCATCAAGTATTTTATAGCGTACAGTGCTGCATGCCAAAATAGAAGAGCAACAGATATAATGCACATTTGGATATAGTATACCCTGTGGTTGTACAGCATGTACACAGATATAATACTTTCTAGATCACTTTGGAGTGAAATTCAGCCTCATAGTCTGAGCACAAGACTGGGAACAGGAACTCCTGAAGTTTTTTGTTTTGTTTGTTTTGGTTTGGTTTTTATTAGAGCTGGTCAGAAAATTTCAAAATGTTTGAAATTAGTAAGCAAAATGGACCATTTATGTAGTTTTGTAGAATTTCTAACTGCTCAACTCCTATTTTTTTTTCAATCGGTTCTAAGTCTGTTTGGAAAACATTGATGAAAAATGGATAAGAGGAAATTCATTGACATTTCCACCCCATTTTTGACCAGGTTTAGCTTTTACCTGGACTAAAGTAAATATTGATTCCTCTTGTGCCCTTGGACAAGTCCCCGCAGCTCTGATT